ACAGTTGGATGTTCAAAGCCAAGCTTTTGGAGGGTAAAAAAAATTTAGTCGCATAACTCCCCCCTCCCCTTTTTAGTATTGAGGATTGAACCCAGGACCTCATACAAGCTAGGGAAGCACCCTGCCTCTTGGCTACATCTTTAGCCAAAGCTATTTCCTTATTATAGAATTTAGAATTGAATAGTGTGGGACTATTTAGAGATCACTTAGTCCTCAAATAATTGTAAAGATTTCATGAGAGAAAATACCCCTCCCCACAGATACTAAGTATTTAATAAATGTGAGTTAAATCTGAATATAATCTACAATTGATGAAAAAGAGACCCAGCAAAATGAAATGACTTCCCTGGTGCCGTACATTTAGTTAATGTGCAAGTCTGGCTTAGGTTTCAGGTCTTTTTATTCCTAATATACCTTAATTCACATCTTCTGCCTTGGAGAGATTGCTAAAATGTCAAAGTGGGGAGGCTAACTCAATTACTTAGTAATTATTTACATTGTACTGGGTGCCTGTCACTCTGCTGGACTCTGGTGAATACAGAGGAATATTCCCATTAGGTGGGAGGGAGTTGGGAAAGGCAACAGGTAAGAGCAAGGACGTCCTGTTTTATTTACATTGTACAAGGTGCCTGTCACTCTGCTGGACTCAGGTGAGTACAGAGGAATATTGCCATTAGGTAGGAGGGAGTTGGGAAAGGCAACAAGTAAGAGGAAGGACGTCCTGTCTGATGTTGAGGAGAGAGCTATTAAGTTAGGGTGGTATAAGATAAGAAGGGTGGGGTGAAATGGAACACTGGGAAGTCCAAGCCTGCCTTGTATGACTACATTCTGTTTCCTTTAAGAGTCAAGCCCTTTGAAAGAACATAGTATGACACAAAGAATGTAGCCACTGGAATTAGCCTTGAGTTTGAATTCTGGTTTTTATGACACTGCTCAAACCTATCAACTGCTTGCCATTCAATTAAAATTTCAAGTCCTTATAATTGTTATCAAAGTCCTATAAAATCTGACTCCCCACTTTCTCTTTGAGCACTTCTTTCTCTCTCTCATTATGCTCTAGCCACCCTGGCTCTCTAGTTATTCCTGTACCATGCTCTCTTGCATTGGGAACTTTGTACTGATTACTCTGTTTGTCTGAAATGCTTTCCCCCCAGATAGCTGTAGCATGATCCTACATTTCCTTTAGATCTCTGCTAGGTGTTACCTTATCAGAAAGGTTTCTCTGACCACCATATATAAACTAGTACTCTTTGCCTCCCTCTGTTATTTCAGCCTTCACCTGAGTTTATATTTCTGTGTAGCACTCACCACCAGCTGATGTGTATTTATTACCTATTTTTGAGAATGTAAGTTTCTTGAAGGCAAGTGTATACAGAGTACCTACTGTATATGAACAAATGAGTTCTGTAAGTCTCATGAGCCTCCTTGTGACCATCCAAATGCAACATTGGGATACTGATGCTTACTTAAAGCATTGTTGGGGTCAAATAAGATAATACTTATCAAATACCTAGCCCAGTATCTGGTACAAAGTAAATGGTCAGTAAATGCAAATGCCTAATAATAAATTATTTTTGTGGCTTTTAAGTTAATAGTTTTAATGTGGTATCCTTKTTCCCATTAAACTTAGGGAAGAAGAAATCTACATGAAAGTGATGAAGAAAAATGGTTATTTATATTTCATGCTGTCTTAGCAGAATGCAGTAATTGGAATTGTGCTTACATTTTCCTGTGGAACATCTATAACTCCATTTAATAGAACAGTTATATGTTAGGGAAGTTTTGTCAAAAGGCAAATTTTTTAATCAAATGAGTTGTACAATCCATTATGAAATTGGATATATATATATATATATATATATATTATTATTTTTATTTTTTTTTTTTTGTACAGGGGATTGAACCCAGGGGTACTTAACCACGGAGCCACACCCCCAGCCCTATTTTTTATTTTGAGACAGGGTCTCACTAAGTTGAAAGTATGCTTTTGCTAGGAAAACATGGTATCAAAATAAGAAAATCATTATCTGAAGTGCTACAAACCTGTATATTCTTCACTCTGGACATTTTTGCTTTGCAATACCCATGATGTAATGATTTTGACTAGGGAGAAATAACTTGTACATACAACTAAGGACTGGATTATTCCATTTCTGTTCACGAGTGTGGTCACTCAGCAAAGAATTAGAAGATTTTTGTTTAATCATTGCTTATCAGATTTATGGACTCATTAACATGTCAGTGCTATTGTAAAGGTACTGGCACTTAATAAACTTTAGGGTTTTTTTTKTTGTTGTTGTTGTTGCTTTGCTAATTAGGAACAAGATTATAACTATGACCCCAACATTTTGTATTTTAAAGAGCACCATTGGGGCTGGGAATGTGGCTCAAGCGGTAGGCGCTCGCCTGGCATGCGCGGGGCCCTAGGTTCCATTCTCAGCACCACTTAAAAATAAAGTAAAGATGTTGTGTCCACTGAAAACTAAAATATATATATATATATATATATATATATATATATATATATATATATATGAAAAAAGAGCACCATTAACATAAAGTGAATTTGGAACAATTATTCTTTTTTTTTTTTTTTTTAGAGAGAGAATTTTTTAATGTTTGTTTTTCAGTTTTCGGTGGACACAATATCTTTATTTTATTTTTATGTGGTGCTGAGGATCGAACCCAGTGCCCTGCGCAGGCCAGGCAAGCGCGTTACTGCTTGAGCCACATCCCCAGCCCCAAGGAACAATTATTCTTAAACTTCAAAATTCTAATAAGTAAGCATTTTTTCTTTTTGGACATGGAAGATTTGTACATACCTTATCCCTATAACCTTCAGAGATTATACAATATACATTGTTTTTCTCATTGTCTTCTTCTAAGCCTATTATTTAGCAGTCTGGTATTGCACAAGCGAAACTTTGACATTAATCTAGAAAGGATAGGAGAAACACCCATAAAGGAGCTTTATAGCTATTTTGTTATCTCTTGAAGTTCTGTTGAAACTTAAAGATAAATATGTTCCTGAGCAAAGAGTGCTTGATTAATCTGTTTTGTTCTTCATCTACTTGTAATAGAAGACAATGAATGCTCTTAAAAAGCAGGTAGCACTCTGCTGTCATGTATCTAAAACGACAAAAAGGCAAGCAGGGCACAGTGAGAGGCTGAGACAGGAGGACCGAACCTTCAAAGCCAGCCTCAACAACTTAGCAAAGTTCTAAGCAACTTAGTGAGATCCTGTCTCAAAAAAAAAAAAAAATTAAAAAATAAGGCTAGGGATGTGGATCAGTGGTGCAGTGCCCCTAGGTTCAATCCCCAGGACAACAACAACAACAAAAAAAAACGGGCAAGTGCTACTACCCACCCTGTAGTCCCAGCTTCTGTGGAGGCTGAGGCAGAAGGATTATGAGTTTGAGTCCAGCATGGGCAACTTAGTGACACCCTATCTCAGATTAAAAAAAAAAAAAAAAAAAGCACTGGTGGGTGTGTGTGGGGGGGTTCTGAAGATATAACTCATGGTACAGCACTTGCCTACCATGCAAGGCCCTGGTTCAATCCCCAGTAATAACAAAATTTTAAAAAAAGCTAATCATACAACTAACATCCTCTCTGAATAAATAAATTTCCTCCACCATCTTCAGCAATCAGACAAAGAAAATGGAAAGCAAGACACAAGAAATCATGGACTGTATTCCTGTTGCAGAGATCAGTGATTAGACAGGGGTGGTCACATTCCTAGGCAGACTGGAATTAAGAGTATTCCTTCTTATTTATAAATGGTCAGTTCCCTGGACCTCTACTTCCCTGGTCTAGGATAAGGGGTTAGATGTCCAGGATTCAAACACGACCATTCTAAATCTTAGCAGAACATCTAGGAAAAAGTAAAAAGGATTGAACAAAAGCATATGATTGACCATGTCATGGCATAGATAGTATAGTTGAAAGAATACTCCATATGCCTATGGTTGAAGTTTTGCCCTGCAGCTGATTATGTATGCTTATATAAAATACTTAACCCCTCTAAATATATTTTCCTGTCCACAAAATGAAAGTATACCTACTTCAGACTATCTGTGAAAATTAATAAGATAATGCATACAAAACACATTGAAGTGCTCAATCATTAGTAACCTGTTAATAATAATAAATGTGTACACCATCTTTCCAAAATGTTGGCTATAGAAAAATTTGCATTTTTTTTTTGAATTTTAATGTTTATTTATCATTTTTAGTTTTCGGCGGACACAACATCTTTGTTTGTATGTGGTGCTGAGGATCGAACCCTGGCTGCACGCATGCCAGGCGAGCGTGCTACCGCTTGAGCCACATCCCCAGCCCAAATTTGTATATATTAGTGGCTTTAATTTTTTTTTCTCCCTCTACTGGGAATTGAACCCAGGGCCTCATAAATGTTAGGCAGGTGTTGGTTATTCTACCACTGAGCTCTAATCATCCTACCCTCCCACCCTTTCCTCCCCTCCTTAATTTTAATATAGGGGTTAGCTAAATTGCTCAGGCTGGGCTTGAATTTGTGGTTGCTCTGCCCCAGCCTCTGGAGTAACTGAGATTATAGGTATGCACCACTGTACCTGGTTGGATTTAATGTTTTATTGTTGGGGATTGATATTTGGTTATTAAGACCCTTCCAAAGATTTTGTGTGGGGGTTTTATTGTTGTTTGTTTGCCTAGTACTAGGGATGCAAAGCAGGGGCTTTGGGTATGTTTAGCACCTGCTCTATCACTGAGCTTCCTCCTCACTCCTAAAGGTGATTAAATTTTTAATCAATGTYATGGGAGATCTGGAAAAATTACTGAGGATGATGAATAAAGCCACCACATACTGCTTAGTGACATATTTACTCTATAGGTAAAAGGTAATTGGTTTTTGGAGGAATGTATATGGTAAGGTTTTGATCATAACCTTGATCTGAGAAGTAGGGTGCTCATGATGAATGTATTTTTCTTTTAAGTAAATCTTTTTCCCTCCCTTTCCCCAGCTGCTCAGATAAAGAATTTGATGAGCCAACTAGGAACTAAGCAGGACTCAAGCAAGCTACAGGAAAATCTGTGAGTAGCTTCCTAACAAGGTTGTGATTTGTGAGGGCACTTTGAGGACATTAGTATCCTTGCTGCGTGGCAGCTTAGGTTTCAGGTCTGTGAAGTCAGAATGAGAAGCAATGGATCAGGAGGTAATAGCTGGATTTAGAAAGGGGCAACAAAGTATATTAATGAATCCAGATTTCCACTGCTTCTCAAAGGCCTTGAACTACTTACTTTCTTCCTTTGGTCAGTATAATAGGACAATTTAGGCACATAGAGAAGGGAACTCCTATCTCTCTCTTAAACTGTGTTCTGCTCACAACTCTGCCTAATGAGCCACTTTGTTGGCACAGTACTCCCAATGTTCTAGTCTAGTTGGATTTTCAACTATATATGATATTAGAAAAATTTATTCAGAATGACCCAAGGGGAGCTTGAACGAGAGAATAGTGGAACTTCTGATCTTCTTCTTCTTTTTTTAATCATATTCTTTTTGACTCCATTCCAGCTTTTATTTATTTATTTTWAAAAATATTTTAAAAATAAATAAATAATTAAAATAAATAAATATTTTTTATTTTAATTTAATTTAATCCATTTTTTTTTAAGGAGAGAGAAAGAATTTTTTTTTAATATTTATTTTTTAGTTTTCGGCGGACACAACATCTTTGTTTGTATGTGGTGCTGAGGATCGAACCCGGGCCGCACGCATGCTAGGCGAGCGCGCTACCGCTTGAGCTACATCCCCAGCCCCTAAAATATTTTTTTAATTGTGGATGAACAATATATTTATGTATTTTTATGTGGTGCTGAGGATTGAACCCAGTGCCCCACACGTGTGAGGCTGATGCTCTGCCACTGAGCTGTGTCCCAGCCCATCCATTCCTGCTTTTAGAAGTTTAGTTCTTTATCTTTAAAATATATTAAGCAGTATTCCTGTTTCCTGTCCTAAACATTCTGAAGTGAACATGACTATTATTACTGTGAGCTTTTTCCAGGGAGAAATGAAATCTCTGTATCTTAGTGCTGTCTGGGATGTTCTGACTCCTGTTTGACTCTATTTTGTTTTTCATTCCTATGTTTTTTTAATCCTGGAGACCCATTTGCAGTGAAAAAAACATTAATAGTAGTATGCTGTCTTAGTCCATTCAGGCTGCTATAACAAAAGACTATAAACCAGTTAGTTTATAAACAACAGAAATTTATTTCTCATAGTTCTGGAGACTGGGAAGTTCAAGATCCAGACGTGGCAGATACAGTGTCTGGGGAGGGACTGCCTTTTCAGGTGATGCCTTCTCACTTGTATTTTCACTTAGTGAAAGAGGCAAAGCAGTTCTATAGGGCCTCTTTTTTAAGGAACTAACCTTGCATGACTAAACCACTCTCGATCTAATCACCTCCCAGTATGATTTCCTAATATTATCACCTTGTAGGTTAGGATTTCAACATATGAGTTTGGGAGGCGCATACATTCAGGCCATAGCTTGTGGTTTCTCTGTCCTCCCTAAAACCTTTGCAGAAATGACCAGATAGTAGAGGAAAACACAAATCAAAGGAACTTTGTTTTATTTATCCACTACTTTCTAATCTCACTTAATATATTATATATTTTTGCCTCTTTAATGTCCTTTCTTCCTACTCCTTTTATTTTTGGGGGGTTGTTTTTTGAGACAGGGTTCACTATGTTGCCCAGGCTGGCGTAGAACTCCCAGGCTTGTGATCCTACTGCCTCAGCCTCTTGAGTAGCTGGGACTACAGGCATGTGCCACCATACCCACCACCCAGCTTCCCCCAACCCCCACCTTCTTTTATTGGTGCATTATAGTTGTACATAATGGTGGGATTTGTTTTTACATATCATGCACACAATATAATAATATAATTTGGCCAGTATCCTTCCCCCAGCTTCATATATACCACTGGGTTATGCTCCTAACCCCTTACTTATATATTTTTAAATAATATAGGGCTTCTTTGTTTTGAAGGGAGAAATAAAGTCAAGCATAAAGAGCAGGAAGGCATCCAAAGGTAAATCTGAAAAAGAATCAGCCTTTAAGCAAGAATGAGGGAATAGATCTTTGAAGGTTGTTCCCTAGGGTAGGTGCAAAGCTATGCTTTTAATGCATATTTCATTCAACCACCTATGCCTGGACTCTAGTCGGTGGACTGTGACAGATACTGACCATGCAGAACTCCTGGGTAATTCAATATGAGAATTTTATGAGGAAGTTCAGGGTGTTAAAACCATGAGATTTAGGTGTGGGCAGTAATTGCTCTTTCTCTTGTTTCTATCAGAATTGCTGATGTGCTTTTCTCCCCAAAGAGTTAAAATTCCTGATTGTGCTTCCTTCAGCAGGTATCTTGAGGCAGGTTCTTTTTGCTTAATGTGACTGCTTCAATAATGTGAAGATGTCTTGAAGTAGGTTTTCCTGGGTAATAGTAATGACATTTTTTTGTGAACATGGGCATTGAGGTGCCCATTTTCTTCAAATAGTCCTTCATTCCCTGCATTGTGAGACATTCTGAGAACAAAGTAGTACTCAGTATGATAGCTCTCAAGAAGTGACAGCATCTTGAAATATATCTTTTTTCTCTTAGGCAGCAGTTGCAGCACTCCACAAATCAGCTTGCCAAGGAAACAAATGAATTGCTGAAGGAATTAGGGTCCTTACCCCTTCCCTTATCTACTTCAGAACAGGTTGGTATTTTCTGTTTTGCTTTATTACTAAGAAAGCACTTTGTTTTAGTAGAAAGGCAGTATGGTGGAACAAAAATTGGTCTTTGATGCTAGACAGACTTTCTCTGAACCTTAGTTTCCTTATATGTAAAGTGGGGTATGTGACTATTGTGGCATTAGAGAGAATGTACGCACCAGATGTAGCAAAGTGCTTGACATTCAGTAGGTATTCAATATGGGGTAGTGCTATTATTAATATGTTAATAAAATGGATTTTGCTGAATTAGAATTTCAGTCTTTGCATCTCTTTAGGATTTGGCTAGCAGCCACATGTTGGCAGGCTTAGACCTAGTTTGTATGGGATCCACTATCTACAAATTTCCATTAAACATCTTTCTTTCATATTTTGTGTCCCATCAAGGGTTATTCGTAGGTCTCAGGTTAAGGAAATATTCAGGGAAGATTTTTTTTTCTAAGTCATTTTACTCAAAGGACATTAAATTCTTTAAATGAACACACTTTTTACTTGGATTCATTGTTCTCCAAATGTCTTCTTTCATCCTGGAAGCCAGATGTATCCCCTCCTTCATCATGGTTTAACTCTTTTATCTCTTATCCATGGTCTACCTTAAGGGAAAAACTTCTCCATCTGCCTTAGCCTATTGTGATTCTATTTTGTTTTAGCTTCTATTCCACTCATGGGGCACTTGACTTATATGACTTTTTATTATTGAACTTTTAAAATTATGATATCCTATCTCAGATAGCTCTAAAGACAAAGCCTTCAACTTCCCTATCCTGGGTTGTTTTTAAATTTGTGGCTTGCTGGGCTATGGTCCACACCTGTAATCCTAGCAACTCAGGGGGTTGAGGCAGGAGGATCACAAGTTCAAAGCCAGCCTGGGAAACTTATTGATATCCTGTCCCAAAATAAAAGAGGCTGGGAATGTAGCTCAGTTGTAGAGTGCTCCTGGGTTCAATCCCCAGTACTGAAAGATAACAACAAATAAAACGGTGACTTGTGGGTCTGGGGATATAGCTCAGATGGTAGAGTGCTTGCCTCTCATGTACAAGGCCCTGGGTTCAATCCCTGGCACCACACACACAAAAAAGAACTGTGACTTGCTGTTGGTAACAACAACAAATAAAACTGTTAAGTGTGTTGTTGAAAATGCCAATCGCATTTTCAAAAACCAAACTAGAGTAGAAATATCAGAGTTTTTACTGTGTAATAAGAGTAAATATCATTATATAAAACTGTAGTTTGATGTATATATGTGTGAACAGTATTGGGTCATTAGGTCAAATTCATACTGTGGGTCTCCAAAAACTTGAAAAGCACCAGTTTAACCTGGCAAGCTGTTTAATGTAGCAATGTTCAGTCCAGAGTTTTGGAGCTCTTTGCACAAAAGAGGATCCAAGACTAGAAGCTTTGTCTTCCTGCTACAAAATACTTTTGATAAACAGTAAGATTATCCATATATGAGTTGATTTAGTTGTTACTCATGTTGACGTTTCTGTTATGGGACAGTGCCCCCTTACCATCCAAAATATCTCCAGCTTGTTCCCAAATTATCTGTTTCTTCCTCCCAGCTATGTACTTAGGGAATATACATTTGTAGATAGCTTTCATAGCAACAATAAAGGAGTCTAAGGATTTGATGCAGACAGAGTAAGGTTTAAATAGTAAAGTCTAAGCAAAATATAAATAGAAAGCTAAATCTGCTACCCCCAGAATCATCTAATGTATTCAAAAACCAAACAGAAGTTATTTTTGGATTATGCATGCTATTGTTTACTTCCATTAGCTTGGATTATTAAGAACATGAAATAGATCTACAAACATTTTCTCTCTGATGAAATATAACTCCTTGATTCCCTTTCTCCTATTGTGATGATTACCTTTTTGTCTTTCTACTCTTGCCTTATTTAATCTTAGCCCTATTGCCCATCTTTTCACTGACACCCTGGGCATAAAACATACATTCTATTTTCAGTTTCCCCATACACTCTATAGGTATGGGGATAACTATATACTATTACCAATGGTCTTCTAGTTGCCAACTGGACAAATCCAGTGGCCTCTTTTGAGTTTTTATTCACTTTTCCTCTCTTGTTTTCTTTGGTCCACTAGTGTTTTTTGTTTTGTTTTGTTTTGCCACTGAACTTTCTTTTTTTCCACGATTCTCTTTCATTCTTTTCCCCAACTCTGGTTGACTTTCAGTCTCCTTCCTTGATAATATATCGTCCTAGAAGTAGGCATGCCCCAAGGCTCTGCCATTGACCCTCCAGTTTTTCACTCAATACTTTCTTCCTCAGGAGTCTTATTTATGTTTATGACCTCCCTGTCACCTTTAGGATCAACGACTCCCAAATATTTTTCCAACCCTAGCCCTTTAGCCTTCTATACTTGGCCCATATTGCCAGTTCTGTTCTCACATCTCCTCTTGAAATATACTACCTGCATAAAAAATTTAATGGGGTATTGGGCTGGGGTTGTAGCTCAGTGGAGAAGTGCTTGCCTGGCATGTGTGAGTCACTGAGTTCAATCCTCAGCACCACATATAAATAAATAAAATAAAGGTATTGTGCCCATCTACAACTAAAAATATATACATTTTTAAAATTTAATGTGGTATATTATATGGAATTCCTCATTCAAACTCCTCAACTAGGGCTGGGTTGTGGCTCAGTGGTAGAGTGTTTGCCTAGCTTGTGTGAGGCACTGGGTTCAATTCTCAGCACCACATAAAAATAAATGAATAAAATAAAGGTCCATCAACAACTAAAAAATATATATTAAAAAAAAAACTCAAATAAGTTGAGTTTGTGCCTTTTAACCTAATATTCCCACTCATACAGATTTGTCCTAAGGAAAAATATTCTGAAGGGGAAATAAGTATAAGTACTCACAAGCTAAATATAAATATTAGCTGTTATAGTGGGGCTCACTTGAGCTTTATTTATTTTTATTTTTTATTTATTTATTTATTTTTAGAGAGAGAGAGAGAGAGAGAGAGAATTTTTAATATATATTTTTTTTTAGTTTTCGGCGGACACAACATCTTAGTTTTGTATGTGGTGCTGAGGATCGAACCCGGGCTGCACACATGCCAGGCGAGCACACTACCGCTTGAGCCACATCCCCAGCCCCTGAGCTTTATTTTTAATAGTTAAAAACTGAGAACAATCTAGAAGGAATATTTACATAAAATTTACTAGATTAGCTTGATGGGATATCTGAAACAAAGATTATCATTTTTTTAAAAATTATAATTGTAAATATTATGGTACCATGGAAAATGTTTATGATATATTGAAAATATAGCATTTGGGGGCTGGAGGTATAGCTTAGTGATGGAGTGCTTACTTAAAACCCACTTTTTGGGGTATGTGCAAAGCCCCTTGGGTTCTCTCCTAGCACCAAAAAAAAAAAAAGAAAAGAAGGTAGTATTTTTAGATTGTAAGATGGGGAGTAATTTCCCCATTATTGCTATAATGTTGTTTAGGCAAAAATAAAGGTCCCAGAAAGGGGAAAACAATGTTCTCACCTAAATTTGCTTTCAGTATTTGAAGTTTGGGTCATTCTTTACTTATCTCCCTTCTTCTACCTCCAGTCACTAAGTCAGTGTTTTTTAAATTTATTTCTTTGTGAGCCAATTACTGATACTGTGTCCTCCTAAACTTAAACTACTGCAATGGTAAAAACTCATAAAAACATTTCTTTATGAGTTTCTGGGGTTCAAACCCAGGCCCTTGTGCATGCTAGACAAGTGCTCTGTTACAGAGCTATGTCCCCTGCACTGTTGCAGATTTTTTTTTTTTTTTTGCTTGTTTCTTCTTTCCATTTCACTTGGCATGTCATCACAGCTGATTTTTCTAAGTTACTCCTTTGTCCCTGTCATATTCCCAGATGAAAAATCTTCATTGCTCTTTGTTCATTAGGAGTTAAATCCCAGATTTATTAGCTTGACATTTAAAACCCACTTTTATCTTTTAGCTTCTCTTATGAATAAATCTTGATTTCAGCCAGACCATCTCCTTATAGATCCAGTTTTCTTCCACCAGCCTCTGCTAACATTGTTCTCTTGGTTGGATTTGTTCTACCCTGTCTTTCTGCTTATTCTGTTCACTATTTCTTTACTGTCCACATTCTCTTGAGGCCTTTCTTGACCACCTAAGTTCTTACTGATTGATTGTCCTGTGTCTGAACTTCTATAGTACAAGGTGGATATAGCCAATTTTTATGACTTTGTCACTTGTGTGTACATATTCTTTATCTCTAAATAGATGGTGAGCTATTTGAGATTATTTCTGTGTGCTTAGTATGGGGCGCTTAGTATGTATTTTTTGAGATGTAGAAGTAGCAAGCCTAATAAAGATAGCCTGTAGATAAACGAAATAGTTATCAAGTTCTTAAAGGTTGTAAACCTTACTTTTATTTTTTTATTTTTATTTTTTTAAGATAGAGACAGAGAGAGAGAGAATTTTAATATTTATTTTTTAGTTTTACGGCAGACACAACATCTTTGTTTGTATGTGGTGCTTAGGATCRAACCCAGGCAGCACGCATGCCAGGCAAGCTCGATACCGCTTGAGCCACATCCCTAGTCCATAAACCTTACTTTTAAAATAAAGCCTATAGATGAAAATGGTTATGATTTTCTGGGAAACTGTGAACTTAATATACATGAATATAATTTCAACATTTTTGTAAAAATCAATCTCTGTTTGGGTCCAATCTGAGTCTAAAGATAGTATTATTCTTTTAGATTCTCGAGGGAACAAAAATTCTGAATTTCAAAAAATAAAAAAATTTTAAAGATTCTGAATTGCATTTTCTTCTGATATTACAAGATAAATGATATCCAGTTCTCAGGCTTGTCAGAATGAAAGAGAAAATTCTGATTTGATCTATATAGTATTAACTGGGAATTTGAGCTAGCAAGGAGTGAATTAATTAATTTAAAGAAGATTCTATTTTGTAATAATTTTCCTTGTTGGAAATCTCCAAGAGATATAGTTTTATCTGTAATAAGAATTAAAGCTAAATGATTCTGGGTTAATATAAAATCTGAAATTCTTTCTTTAATTTCCTTAGCGCCAGCAGAAACTTCAGAAAGAACGCCTCATGAATGACTTCTCTGCAGCCTTAAATAATTTCCAGGCTGTTCAGAGAAGGGTATCTGAAAAGGAAAAGGAGAGTATTGCCAGAGCAAGAGCTGGATCTCGTCTTTCTGTAAGTTGTTTCTTAAAAGCAAATTTTCAATTTCAGGATGTTCTTTCCTAAAATTTTTTTTCCTTTCTTTTCTCCTTGACCATCAGCCTTTGTTTGTTATCACTCCAAATAATAAACATATACATCAGCTGTTATAAAAATGTCAGATTGGCCAGGTGCAGTGGCACATGCCTATAATCCCAGTGGCTCATGCCTGTAAACCCAGCGGCTCAAGAGGCTGAAGCAGGAAGATTTCCAAGTTCAAAGCCAGCCTCAGAAACTTAGTGAGGCACTAAGCAACTTGGGGATACCCTGTCTCAAAATAAAATATAAAAAAGGGCTGGGGATGTGTCTCAGTGGTTAAGCACCCCTGGGTTTAATCCCTGGTACCAAAAAAAAAAAAAAAAAAGTCAGATTGGTATAGCCTAGGTTAAAAAAAAAAAAAAAGTATATGCATGTTGGCAAAGACTAAAATGGAATGTACATAAAGGTTAAGAAAAAGTAGAATTATGTATAATTTTCATTTTGTTATATTAATCTATGTTAAAAACAAAGGATAAGTTTTGTTTTCTAGAATATAGCAGGCTAGGTTGTTTGGACTATCTCATTTTGAAAAGAATTTTCAAACACTGAGATTTAAAAACTCAACTTCTCAAAAGTAGCAAATAGCCATGAAAATAAATATTAAGGTCAAAATCTAAGAGAGGTAAGCAGAGCATTAAAAATGCTTTTTGCAATGAGTACGTTTACTGAAGGCAAACTTGAACTTCAGTTTTGATGTCCTCATGACATAAAGAGGATAAAAGTCAAAGCTCAGGGTCCATGTATAGTAGAGAATATAAAAAGTGTTCATAATATTAAACAGGACCCTAAAAGACTATATTCTTGGGATTTAAGAAAGCCAAAATAAGCCTTCCTTCAAAAACACTGAACTAAACAGGTGGTAGAGAGGGGTAAGAGGGAGAGAAGATCCAGACATTAAGTTCTGTTACAAAGAAATCTTCAGGCACATTTACTGCCCAAATTTATACTACCTCTATGTTCCAAAGCTTCAAGCTGCAAGTGGTTCTGGACTATAAAATACCTATGCGCCAAGTAGAAGCAAATCCAAATCCACTTTGTGGAGACACCTTTATCCTAGCCTAGAAAGAATATCCTCAGGCTGGGGTTGTGGTTCAGTGGTATAGTGCTCACCTTGCATGCACAAGGCACTAGGTTCAATCCTCAGCGCCACATAGATTAAAATAAAGATATTGTATCCACATAAAACTAAGAGATAAATATTTAAAAAAAAAAACAAAAACAATATCCTCAAATACATTTCAAGCGCTAGGTTAAAAATAACTAAGCACACAAAGAAACAAGTTATCCTATATAAGAACTACTAGAAACAACAGTAAAATGAAACATATCTGTAAAGACTATATTGGAATTATAAGATAGCTATACTTACTGTGTTGAAAGAAATAAATGAAAAACTTAAAAACATCTACAGGAATCAGAAAACTACAAAAAGTTTTGAAAAAGATTAAAAAAAAATTCTAAAATTGGAAAATATAATAAGGAAATAAAAAACTTAATAGGGAGGTGGTTTAACTAGAAAATTGGTTAGATTTTTTTTTTCCCCAGTATGTAGCACAGGGGGTTAAGAAGCTAAATATGGAAGAAAGTTTACGAGAAATGGCCAGGTGTGGTGGTGTATACCTATAATCTAAGTGGCTCCGGAAGCTGAGGCAGAAGGATTGCAAGTTCATAACCAGCCTCATCAACTTTAGTGAGGATCTAAGCAACTTAGTGCGATAGTAGGACTCTGTCTCAAAATAAAATATAAAAGAAAAGGGCTGGGGATGCTCAGTGGTTAAACACCCCTGGTTTTGTGAATTACAGAATGAAAGCAGAGCAAATATAGAACAGAATTAAGTTGAAGAGATAATGTTTTAGAAATGATATAATGACACTAATCCATCCATCCTTCCTTCCTTCCCCTTTCCCCTTTCTCCTTCCTTCCCTTCCTTCCCCTTTCCCCTTTCTCCTTCCTTCCCTTCCTTCCCTTCCTTTCCTTCCTTCCCTTCCTTCCCTTCCCTTCCCTTCTAGGAATTGAACTCAGGGGCACTAAACCACTGAGCCACATCCCCAGCCTTATTTTGTATTTTATTTAGAGACAGTCTCACTGAGTTTCTTATTGCCTTGCTARGTTGCTGAGGCTGACTTTGAACTCAAGTCTCAGCCCCTGAGCTGCTTGACAAGCATGTGCCACCACGCCAGTTCTAATCTATGGTTTCTAGAAGCCTAACAAATTCCAAGTAAGATAAATTAAAAAAAAAAAAAATTATCAGAACACGAGGGCTGGGGATGTGGCTCAAGCGGTAGCGCGCTCGCCTGGCATGTGTGCGGCCTGGGTTCGATCCTCAGCACCACATACAAACAAAGATGTTGTGTCTGCCGAAAACTAAAAAATAAATATTAAAAATTCTCTCTGTCTCTCTCTTTCTGTCACCTCTCTCTTAAAAAAAAAAAAACACCAAAGACAGAGAAAATTGCTAAAATCACTGGAGAAACAGTAGAATACCTTAAAGACATAATAGTTGGATTGACAGTTAACTTCTCAGTAGTAACAATGGAAACCATTAGAATGCTTTCCATTTTGCAGGGAGCAAGGGTACCAGGAATTGAACCCAAGGGCCCTTAACCACTGAGCTACATCCCAGTCCCTTTTTTATATATTTTTTTAGAGACAGGGAACTTATGGCCTCAATAAATTGTTGAGGCTGCTTTGAACTTGTGATTCTCCTGCCTCAGCCTCTGGAGCTGCTGGGATTATAGGCATGTGCCACCACACCCAGCTAGAATGCTATCTTAAATGTTAATGAGGGAGAGTAACTGCCTCATAGCACTTTAAACACAGTAAAAATATATATCCACAGTGAGGTCTAATTAAAGACATTTTCAGTTCCTGCCAGGCATGGTGGTGAACGCCTATAATCCTAGCTACATGGGAGGCTGAGGCAGGAGGATTGCAAATTTGAGGCCAGCCTCAGCAATTTAGCAAGACCCTGTCTCAAAAGTAAAAAAGAGCTGAGGATGTAGCTCAGTGGTAGAGTTCATTCGCTAGCACAAAGAAAGTTTCTTTATTTTTTTTTAAGAGAGAGAGAGAAAGAATTTTAATATTTTTTTTTTTAAAGAGAGAGTGAGAGAGGGGAGAGAGAGAGAGAGAATTTTTAATATTTATTTTTTAGTTTTTGGCGGACACAACATCTTTATTGGTATGTGGTGCTGAGGATCGAACCCGGGCCGCACGCATGCCAGGCGAGCGCGCTACCGCTGAGCCACATCTCCAGCCCAGAATTTTAATATTTATTTTTTACATCTTTGTTTGTATGTGGTGCTGAGGATCGAACCCGGGCCGCACGCATGCCAGGCGAGCGGGCTACCCCTTGAGCCACATCCCCAGCCCAAAGAAAGTTTCTTAACACACTTTATTTAAGGAAATTCTCAAGGAAAGTGATCCCCAAAGAAAAGTCTGAAGAGCCAAAAGGAATGAAGAGCAAAGAAAGTAGTAAATATGTGGAAAGATAAGCCACAAACAGAAAGAAGGTGTTACTATATGTGAACAAAGGAGTAGAATTTGAATATTTTGTATAAAGAATTCCCTACGAGTCAATGTGAAAAAAAGTACAATCAATAGAACAACATTTCTTTTTTCTTTTTTTGGTACTGGAGATTGCACCCAGGGGTCCTCTACCACTGAGCTACATCCCCATCAATTTTTATTTTATATTTTGAGACAGGGTCTCACCAAATTGCCTAGATAGACCTCTTGCTTCTGCCTCCCAAATGGCTAGGATTATAGGCTTGTACCACCAGTCCTGAAAGTTCTCAAACTTTTCATCTCAGGACCCCATACTCTTTTTTTTTAAATATATTTTAGTTTTTAATGGACTTTATTTTATTTATTTATATGTGGTATTGAGAATCAAACCCAGTGCCTTGCACATGCTAGGCAGGCACTCTACCACTGAGCCACCACCCCAGGTCCTGTTTTTTTTTTTTTTTAATAGTGAACCCAGGGGCATTTTACCACTGAGTTACTTGTGTGTTTATAAAAAGTTTTATAAAGGGCTGGGACTCTAGCTCAGTGATAGAGTGCTTTCCTCACATGTGTAAGACACTGGGTTTGATCCTCAGCACCACATAAAAATAAATTAATAAACAAAGATATTGTGTCCATCTACAACTAAAAAATATTTTTTAAAAAGTTTTATAAACTTTTAAATATATTATTATAAAATCATATTGAAGCTAGGCACAGTGGCACATACCCCTAATCTCAAGAGACTCAAGTGGCTGAGGCAGGAGGATTACAAGTTCCAGGCCAGCATCAGCAAAGTAGTGAGACCCTGTCTCAAATTTTTAAAAAACTTAAAAAAGGGCTGGGATGTAACTTGGTGATAAAGCACCCCTGGGTTCAATGTCCAGTATCCCACTACCCCTACTCCCTACAAAAAAAAAAAAAAAAAATTGAATAAATAAAAATGTGTCGTTCCCTAATTCAGCCTGCAACTGAACTATGCCAATGCTTTTCTTGGAGATAAACATCGTGTTTCAGTATGCAACATAAGTATGTTATATATACTTACCATTTTGTCCTACAGGGTATTAAAAAGTTGTATATCAAGGGGTAGAGATTTAATTAATAATTTGTATGGTTTTATCAAAGATAAACTGTTTTTTTTTTTTAAAAAAAAAACAAACAGTGCCTGATGATGAAGAAGACAGTATTTGGTGCCACTGCGTTGAGCCATTTTATCCACCATTGCTTTTACTTCACGAGTATAAATGTCAACACATTGAAAAAGGCAAACAAATATGTTGGTATTATTTTGAATAATGATCCAACAAATGAAGGGGTTCTTAGCCTCTTTAGTTAGTCATAGATTTTCTGATTAAAACAACAATGAAATACTATTTCATGTCTACCAGAAGGGCAGACATTTTAAATTCTGTGAACACTGTGGGTGGCTGTTAGATATGATGGAGCAGGAACTCTCCTATCTGGCCCAGGAGCAACCATTTTGGAAAACATTTTAGCTCCTTCTTCAGAACATATACATACTTTATGACTCAGCAGTTCTACCATAGAGGAACCTGCATACATATACCAGGATGTATATTCAAGAATGTTCAGAGCAGCATTATTTGTAGTAGTCAAAAACTGTAAACATTGAGGCTGGGGGTGAAGCACAGTGGCAGAGTGCTAGCCTAGTATGGATGAGGCCCTGCGTTCAATCCCCAGCACCACAAAAAGAATTAAAAACAACAGATGTCCTTCAGCAGTAGAGGATACAGCTAAAATGTTTTTCAAAGTGGTGGTGGTGGTGGTGGTGGTGGTGGTGATGATGGTGATAAAGAAGAGGAGAATAATCCCTCTCTCTTACCCATGTTCTTCTGGTCCTCTTTAGTATGGTTTCTGTTCTGGGCCCCAGCTGAAATGCTGATTTGCTTTTAGCTACTTCACACTCATTTCTTAGTTGAGACCGATTGCCAGCATCCTCTTGTCATCTTACAGATCCTGTTGGAACCAGGGATGTTAATTCTTTATACTATAACTAAGCAAACCCTTGTTTTATGTGTCTATGACATGTTTCTGGATGACAGCAATAATAATGCCATCTGCTTTCTAGGCAGAAGAGAGACAAAGAGAGGAGCAGCTTGTTTCATTTGACAGGTAAAGAATTATTTATCCAACCTGATGTATAGTTGATGGGAGTCCCTATTTATCTAATCTGTCTGTATGTCTATTAAATTCTTTCTATGCTACTAGGGAATTGAACCCCAGGGTGGTCTACTACTGAGTTACATCCCCAGCCCTTGTTATTTTTGTTTTTGAGACAGGGACTCTGAGGCCTTGAAATTTGACATCATCCTGTCTCAGCTTCCTGAGTAGCTGGGATTACAGACATATTCCACTGTTCCTGTCTGTCTGTATTTATTTACTTATTTTTTGGGTACCGGGATTGAACTCAGGGGCACTCAACCATTGAGCCACCCCCAGCCCTATTTTATGTTTTATTTAAAGGCAGGATCTCACTGAGTTGCTTAGTGCCTCACCATTGCTGAGGCTGGCTTTGAATTCGAGATCCTCCTGTCTCAGCCTCCCGAGCTGCTGGGATTAAAGGTGTGCGACACTATGCCCAGCTGTATTTATTTTTAATATAAAAAATGAGGGCTGGGAAAATGAGAAATTATATCCCATCTTTGATGATATATCAAAGTGCATAAATGCATTCTATTGTTATGTATAACTAATTAAAACAAATTAAAACCTTTTTAAAAATAATCCACATTTTCCAGCAAAAAACAAACAAACAGGGCTGGGGATGTGGCTCAAGTGGTAGTGCACTCGCCTGGCATGCGTGAGGCACTGGGTTTGATCCTCAACACCACATAAAGGTAAAATAAAGATATTGTGTCCACCTAAAACAAACAAACAAAAAATGGGGACTGGGGTAGTAGCCCAGTGATAGAGCACTTGCCTAGTATGTGTGAGGCACTGAGTTCGATCCTTAGCACCACATAAAAAATAAATAAATACAATAAAAACATTGTGTCCATCTACAACTAAAAAAAAATTTTAAATGAATGAGAGGGACTGGGGTTGTGGCTCAGTGGTAGAGTGCTTGCCTAGCATGCATGGGGCACTGGTTCGATCCTCAGAACCACATAAATGTAAAATAAAGATATTATGTCCACCTAAAACTAAAAAAAATAAAATAAAATAAAGATTAAAAAAAAAAAAAGAAGGGCTACAACTATAGCTCAGTGGCAGGTGGCAGAGTACTTAGCATGTGTGAAGCACTGGGTTTGATCCTTAGCACTGCATAAAAATAAAGGCATTCTGTTCATCTACAATTACAAAAATAAAAATAAATTTTACAAAATGAATGAGAAAAAAATAATGAATGAGAAGCCATGTGTGGTGGCACATGCCTATAATCCCAGCAACTCAGGAAACTGAGGGAGGAAGATTACACATTTAAGGACAGCCTCAGCAACTTAGTAATACCTTGTCTCAGAATTTTTTTTTTAAAAAAAGGAGATCACTCCTTGGTTGTGACTCAGTGCTAGAGTGAGGCCCTGGGTTCGATCCTCAGCATCACATAAAGTAAATAAATAAATAAAAATACAGATATTGTGTTCATTATAACTAAAAAGATACTTTTTAAAAAGTGGGTCTGGGATCTAGGGGTTGTAGCTCAGTGGTGGAATGCCTCTGGGTTAAATCTTCATTGCCACCAAACAAAAATGAAACAAAAACAAAATAATGAGAAAAAAGTACAAAATAAAGGGAAGACATGGGCTTTTCTAAGATCTTTGAATTAAAGGAGGAATAATTTCAAGGTGAATAAAAAATTTCAAGAAACCCCTGATACCCTTTTGTGGGGATAAAGCTTGACTCATGGGAATAAATATGAACCCACAAATCTACAGATTAGGAGGTCTCAGTCATCTTATCTCTAATTCAGATTTAAGTTTGCCAGTGTTATTTGGTCTCTGTTTACTCACCTCTGAAATGGAGGCAACTCATCCTTTTAGGAACATGAAGAGAAAAAGCAGATAGTTTGTATCTGAAAGATGTCTCTTCTCTAAGCTAATCTCAGATGTGTATTCATGGCATTAGTTTGGAATTTAAAAATTTTTATCCTGTATCCATTTCCCCTACTACACTATGAACATCTTAAAGGCATGGAGGACTCTTGACTTATTCAGTTTGTATCTCCAAGTCATGGAGGACATTCTTTAAATATGTGGAAATGAAGTATGATTCATACATACTGTTTAAAAATGCATATCACTGCATTTTCAAAGTGTTCTGTAGCTAGTATAATAATTTTTTCTAAATACTTTCAGAATTTATAATATTTCATTATGAATTTTGGTTTTACTTTGGTTTTCTGTTACGAGGTATATAACACAAAAACATAACCTTAGGGAAATTTTTGAAAACCAGGCGGTTTGATTCTGTTAAATGAATTGGTGAAGCACTGGTAGGTTACTTAGCCTGCTCTCCTCCACCCAAAGTACCAATACAGCTTGCACTTAGAGAGTGCCCTGGGAGAGGATGAGTCAGAGAAATTCATTGAGTTCAGATCTTGGGTTACTTTCCTTGTCTACCAAGTCCTAACAAGATTACAGAGTATACCCCTAAATGAAAAAATCAAGGAATCTCATCCCCAATAATTTTGCTTCATCTCAGTTTTGCCCAGAGGCTGAGACTGTTTTCTTGGTATTACCAGCTCTTTTCCTCTGGTATGAAGCTTGTGGTCCTTGGGGACTTTGTAGTGATAACAGAGAAGTTGGTGCCCCAGTTATTCTTTACATAGGTTCTGCTGGCAACAGAGGAATTGTAGGGATGTCTCATCACACCTAAAGAAGGAGGATTCATCTAGAGTGCTTGTCTCCCTGCAGCCATGAAGAGTGGAACCAGATGCAGAGCCAGGAGGATGAGGCAGCTATCACTGAGCAGGATCTGGAACTCATTAAAGAAAGGGAAACCGCTATTCGGCAGCTGGAGGTGAGAGCTAGGTCATGTTTTTTGTTTGACTCAGTGTATCTGCAGGTATTTGAGATTTTAAGCCTGAAGTTTCTCAGTTATGAAAAAGCATAAAATGAGTCATGTGTTTTCACATTATCTGTCACAATTTAAGTCATGGTGGAACTACTGCTACTAAGTTGCTGTGATGGTATTGGCCTTGGCATTTAGCAGTCCCCAAATCCTTTTCTCCAGTACCACATCTTACCTGGTCTCCTTGAGAAATACACAGAGAACAGAGCAAGACAAATGAATATTTATTTTTTATTAGGACTTTACCCCTAAATCTCAATAGCCACCTCTAGACTGGGCATGACTCTRTGGAGAGTCCCTTTGTTAGTCTGGTTAGCACAGTATATAGGTAAGCCAAAAGTCTTATTCCATTTTTGAGTTAATTCTAGAGTCCAAATCCAAGTTGTAGATATTATTATTTCACTGGGTCAGAGAAATGGAAATAGTTTATGAAGTAGGGGTTTGGAGTGTTGGGGGGTCTGTAGACCTTTCTTAAATAACTGAGCTCCGTCTTGAACTTTGCATAGTAAACAGTAATATATCTTTAAATAAGTTGATTTTCTTCCCCATGGAGGTAGATGACTACCATCTCTGGGGTGGGGACAATAGTGGAGAAACTTGGAGTGCCTCCTTGACCTTCATCTATAGCAGTGGTTTTGAACCCAGTTTATGCATATTAGATTCACCTGGGGAAGATTTTTTTTTTTTAATGCCTGAGTTCTCCTCCTGAACCATCAATTACGTGAAATTCCTTTTTTAGGTTAAAAATGGGCAAATATCCACATTTTTATATGGCTCAGCCTAATAAATCATAATCACTAGTGATGCCTATGTTTTAAAATTTCTTTTCTTTCTTTTTTTTTTTTTTTAGAGAGAATTTTTTAATATTTATTTTTTAGTTTTCAGCGGACACAACATCTTTGTTTGTATATGATGCTGAGGATTGAACCCGGGCCGCACACATGCCAGGCAAGCGCCCTACCGCTTGAGCCACATTTCCAGCTAAATCATAATTACTAGTGATGAGGCCCTGGATATTTTATAATTCCCAGATGGTTATAATATGTAGCCAAAATTGAGACCCACTGCTTGAGGGACCATCAGTATCTGTTTTATTTTATTTATTTATTTTGGCAGGGGTGGGTACTTGGGATTGAACCCAGAGATGCTTTACCACTTACTACATGTACCCCAGCCCTACATCTCCAGCCCCCCCCCCCCTTTTTTTTTTTTTTTTTTTTTTTTTTGAGACAGGGTCTCGCTAAGTTGCTTAGGGCCTTGCTAAGTTGCTACGGTAGGTCTCAAACTTGAAATCCTCCTGTCTCAGTCTCTCAAGCTGCTGAGATTACAGGTGTGTACCACCATGCTTGGCCAATGTCTGTTTTTAGATGAGACAGTTTATCCTCAAGTTATACCTACTTTATTTTCTTCAAATGTGTCATTTTTTTTAATATTTATTTTTTAGTTGTAGTTGGACACAAACCTTTATCTTATTTATTTATTTTTATGTGGTGCTGAGGATTGAACCCAGGCCCTCGCACATATTAGGTGAGCGCTCTACCACTGAGCCACAACCCCAGCCCTGTCACATCTCTTTTATAATTATGTCAAAATGAATCCTAACATTATATATAACTAAAAAGAACTAATAAAAAGCAAACGTATGAACAAAAATATGTTATATCTTTCCTTTTACTTTTTAAAAAAATATTCTTTTATTTAATATTTTTTTTTAGTAGTAGATGGATGTAATACCTTTATTTTGTTTATTATGTGGTGATGAGGATCCAACCTAGTGCCTCACATTTGCACTACCACTGAGCTCTACCACTGAGCCACAACCCCAACCCCTCCTTTACTCTTTTTCACTTGCTAATCATTGACTTGGTTCTCTAACATTAGAAATGTGAACAGGGAGCAGAGGGAGACATATGGAAAGGAATGTAATGTAATGAATGTCAGGAATGGGGATCACTTCACATTTGACAGAGTCCCTTGGGATCAATTTTCATATCCAGTCATTTCTTTTTTTGGGGAACAGGGATTGAACTTAAGGGCACTCGACCACTGAGCACATCCCCAGCCCTCTTTTGTATTTTATTTAGAGACGGGGTCTCACTGCGTTGCTTAGCACATTGCTTTTGCTGAGGTTGGCTTTGAACTCGTGATTTTCCTGCCTTAGCCTCCCAAACCGCTGGGATTACAGGCGTGTGCCAACGAGCCTCGTCAGTCATTTCTTTTCTTAACATACAAACCTTATGTTATAGCCAAATAAGTCTATTTGCTTCCAAGATTATATGAGATCAGGCACATTCAGGGTGGTTTGGCCATGACTATTTGCTCTTTAACTCACTTCCTTTCTGTTTATATGGCCTTTTCTTTGCTTTAAGGCACAACTCAAGTCCTGTCTCTTATGCAGTCTTCCTCTTTTGCACACCTTTCTGTACCACTCATTAGTCATTTCCTCTATATCACCCTTTTTATTTATCTTATCATGTACTTATTTCCCCAGTGGCACTAGGGCACTGCCAAAATGGCAGTAGAAAACAAAAGAATCAGTCCTGGGGGAAAAGAGGCTTCCTTCCTGTGACATCCTCTCCTCCTTGCATTTACCAGGTAGCAAGATCCCATATAAATACATTTAAATTTTCTAATCCAAAGTCACAGTACTCATTGTTGTTTGTTGGCACTCACAAGCTTTTGCCATAAGGCCCATTTAGGCTCCATCTAGAGCTATCACACCAAGAATTTATCCATCCCAGCAATCCAGCTTCTATTCTATAACCTTTTGGCTTGGGTGATCATACTGGTTCCCATATAGCACATTCAACTAATATTGCTTGACAGATGGGTTTACATGCCTTCCATTTTATGCTATTAGGTAAATAGTGATAGATTATTTTCTGTTATAGAGAAATCATGTTTTATCGAGTTTTTAAAAACACATTTGGGAAGCCAGACACAGTGATACACATCTGTAATCCCAGTAACTTGGGAGACTGAGGCAGGAATATCACAAATTCAAGGCCAACATCAGCAGTGTAGCAAGACTTTCAAAGTTGGGGCTGGGGATGTGGCTTAAGCGGTAGCGCGCTCCCCTGGCATGCGTGCGGCCTGGGTTCGATCCTCAGCACCACATACAAACAAAGATGTTGTGTCCGCCGAAAACTAAAAAATAAATATTAAAATTCTCTCTCTCTCTCTCTTTAAAAAAAAAAAAAAAAAAAAGACTTTCAAAGTGAAAAAGGACTGGGCATGTAGCTCAGTGATAAAGTGCCCTGGGATCAATACCCAGTACCAAAAAACCACATGTGGGATTGGGAGTATATAGATCAGTGGTGGAGCACTTGCCTAGCATGAATGAGGCACTGGGTTCAATCCACTATAAATAAAACTAAGCAGCCAAAAACAAGACAAAATAAACAAACAACAGAAAAGCTAAAACTAGAGGAAAGGAATCATCTAACATGTTGCTTAATGTTAGTTGTTTTTTGTCTCCCTTAGGCTGACATTTTGGATGTCAATCAGATATTTAAAGATTTGGCCATGATGATCCATGACCAAGGTGATCTGATTGGTATGTATTATTGATACCTTTAATATCAAGGTGAGTTGAAAGTATTTGTGTGCCAAGAAGTCAGTAAGATGTGTCAAATATAGAATTAAAGTTTGGGATTATAATTTTAAAATTACTAAATAAATTTTCTCAGTAATATGCATATATTGTCAAATGTGGAAGGTAAAGAGAGGCCTTTGTGAATAATTAGCCCTATTCACTTGCCATAACTTCTTGGGAAGTCTTTGCTTAAACAAATAGCTATCAGCTTCCCAGCTTTTCTCTCTAGATACTTGCACAATTATGGGATTAGTGACTTTTTAAAAACTTTTTATGTGAAATTAATCTTAAGTTTATAAAAAGTTTTTAAAAATACAGGGAACTTGGGCTGGGGATATAGCTCAGTTGGTAGAGYGTTTGCCTTGCATGCACAAAGCCATGGGTTCAATCCCTAGCACCACCAAAAAAAAAAAACACACAAAAAAAAACAAGGAACTCCTTTATACCCTTTACTCAAATTTACATCTTGTTATCATTCTGCCTCATTGACTTTGTTTGTACTCTCATTCTGTGTGTGTACATGTATGTGTCTGTGTATGTATATATCCAAACAGGATATTGTATTTTCACTTTGGAATTGCCATCCACAAACCAAGCAGCTCTTTGTTGGTCAGTGGAAAACTGCGCTATACACACGCGCGCGCGCGCACACACACACACACACACACAATGTTTTTATGTATTTTTTTTCTGAATCATTTAGTCACATAGTTCTTAAATCCTTATCCCTAAATACTTCAGTGTTTATTTCCAAAGAATAGGGTTATTCTCTTACTGAGGTAGTAACTTTTGATTTCATGACTGGTGATAGCAAATCCAGGACCCATAATATCCAAGGGTGCTAAAATTTCCCCTGTCCTTTTTGCAGATAGCATAGAAGCCAATGTGGAAAGCTCAGAGGTGCATGTTGAAAGAGCCAGTGATCAGTTACAGCGAGCTGCTTACTATCAGGTAAAAGTAGATACCAAAGAAGGTCTTTCTGTACTGCACACTTTATGGGCCATCAGGATACATTGACACATTAAACAGCTGCAGCCTCTTCTTTAGGCTTAAGCTGGAGGCAAGTAGTCATAATTGTTTTGCTGGTTCTGTTTTAGTATTTTCCTTTACCTGATTGAATCTTGAATAAATTTATACAAAACCCTCTTAGCTGCAAAGCTAACCCATAAGCTAGCCATAATAGCTGAACCTAGTATAAGAATAGTCTTATATCCTAAGCAGCTGAAATGTATTTGAGTTAGGATAGTAAGAGGTACAAGTAAAGTGGGGTTTCATAGACACTGGCTATAGAAGAAGATGGACATAGAATCAACTATAATAGCTACTTAYATGTGAATAAATAAGGCTTAATTATTATTAAGCTATGCCTATAAAGTGAAATTCTTCCACTTATTAGTTGAGACTCTGGTTTTATGAATTTTGGGTCTTTATTTCAATGTACAAATATTGTAAATAAGTCCTTCTTATTTCCCTTCAATTTAGGTTGCATGTTTTTTTTTTTTTTTTAAATAAATAAATAGCATTTCAGTCACTTTCCAGGTTCCTAGGGTATGTTTTATCTGGGAATGCTCTATAAAAACTAGGTGATGGCTTTAGTGTCCATTACATATATATCCACTTGATGTTGTATGATGTTTAAATTAAGAGATGTTTATGAAGAGTTTATAATAACAAAAATGTTGATGATAAACATTGAGAAAAATATCAAAATCATACAGTATGATCCCAATTATGTTGGACAACAATATGCATACGTAAAAGAATGCAGTCAATGGTTTTATCAGTGGGTGATTTTTCTCCTTTTGCTTTTTTTTTTTTAATACAATGAACATAAAATTTTATAATAGGTATAAAACTGTTACTAAAACACATGTACAAATCACTTACTGCAAATAATGCCTAACAGCATAGGTATATGCAAAACTATTTGGGAACAATTAAAATCTGTACTACTGCCTACTGGTGGTAACTTAGAGATTTGGGGGAAGTCTCTTCATATTTGTGCATGGGTAGAGTTGATTTTGAATTATAAGGAGGCAAATTTATGAAGCACACTTGGAGTCTAATTAGATATAGAAAATTTTACTTGTTTCATGAGTGTCTTCATTTCTTTCCTCAGAAAAAATCTCGTAAGAAGATGTGTATCCTGGTACTTGTCCTGTCAGTGATTATTGGAGTCTTGATAGTTATTATCTGGCAAGTTTCTAAATGAAGTGTGACTGCCTCAGAGCCTTCTCCTGCTGAGTTGTTTTCAAAAGCAAGTGCTTGTTGGAGTCTTGCGAGAACAAACTGATCACAAGAAGAGAGCATACACCAGAATGTCCTGTAATAATTTAGTTAGAAACTAACTACTAACTAGTCCTTGGAATTAGTGACCTATGGAGACAGTATTTATCAATTTATGTATACAGTTTATTGATTTCTCAAATTAGGAATTAACTTATATGAATTTTGCTTTCTCTTGTTTTCTGATTGYCCTTCATTCCAGGTGTTTACTGAAAATTCCATTCTACATATTCTTTTTGACAGATGACACTACAGTCTCATTATATTGTCTTTTTATGTATATATAAAATTTACCTTTTTACTAGCAACTGAGATGAATTACTTTCTGGGACTCAGCATATTGGAGTCTCTCAGAAACTGTACAATATGCCAGCAATTTTTATTATTTAACATTCTAATTTGAATTTATAAGAAGTTTATTACCTGCTTTGCAAATTTTTGGCACTATATTTAACTGGAGAATACCTGTGATTTAAATTGAATGAGAAAAAAGATGAGAAGTATCTATTTGAACTGGCTGGTTGCTGGGTATGTGTTTTAATCAAGTTTGAAGTTTACTTTATCTACTTTATCTGCTAGTGTCATCCACAGCAGTTCATCCTCATATACACTAAGCCATCTTGTTCCCTTTTCAAAGAGGTTAATTTAATCATTATTAATATACTCTATGGGTCCTTCTCCCACCTGTCTGCAAAGAAAGGGAGAATTAGACATAGCATGCTTTTGGAAAGCAAATAGGAATTGTTTGGAATGATTTAATCTTTCTGTTGTTGTTGTTCACTTGTGGTTTTACATTCCTAGTGAATGATGAATTTGCTGTCAAAAGGCTGCCCCTACCCTGTAAGGGTTTCTGGGCATTTGATGGCAGGGAGATTTTAAAAGTTAAACTGAAGTGGATTTAAAACTTAGTCCTGTGAACCTGGTGATAAAGCAAAGGTTCATTTTTGTAAATAATACTGGTTTGGTATAGTGATGTTAGACTCATTCTAATTTATGAATAAATAAAACTCCATGCATAGTTTTAGACAAAAAAGATTCAATAAAAGATTGCTGTCCTGTAATATAAATGTTGTCCACTTCCCTTTTTCCACAGGCTTAAGTACATAAATGTGAACAGAGCCAACAATTTTAGTTCATCCTTTAGTGAATTTAAAGATTTGGCTACTTAACATATATTTATGTTCATTTCTTTCAGTTGCCCTTAATGTTAATTAATTTTCTTGTACTAAATTAATGTGAAAAGCAGGGAAACAAGAACCCAAATGCATAAGTTTCTTTGCACTTTTGCACCATTCTACCTATTTAATACAAATAAACATTTGAAAAGCTTTTGTAGTAAGTTTTTTTAAATGTTTTTTTAGTTGTAATTGTATACAATACCTTTATTTAATTTATTTATTTTTATGTGGTGCTGAGGATCAAACCCAGTGCCTCACATGTGCTAGGCAAGTGCTCTACCACTCAGCCACAACCCCAGACCTGTAATAAGTTTTTATGAGTTAACATCCTAATGAGATAGGTACTAAAGAAACATGCTATCATGAGAAAAATTGAGACTTGCAAGACTGGAGACCTGATGAAGGTCCAGTGGGGGTGGAATGTAAGTTGAAAGAGGATAGAGCTGTTGGAGTGACACAGTGGCACAGTTCTGGTTCACTACCTTTCTGCTCCAAATTACAGTTGGACTTGGATATATCATTTGTAAACATTCCAGAAAAGGAAAAGTTTTGATTGTGAAAAACTAGTTGAATCTAGGTAAAATAAAGTGACCATAGTTCTATTCTGTAGTACTGTGTGATCAGTGGTGGTTGTAATGATGGTCACAGTGAGCAAATATGAACTTGGCCTAGAATTTGTGGCAGGTGCCAAAGGACTTGCTAGATGGGCCTAATAAACTTATTCACAGAGTCCTCCTTCCTTCTGCCTTTCTTCTCTTTGGAACCACTATGATCTGGGACGGTGGTTCTTAACTATGACTTTTAATTAAAACTTTAAAAAATACTGATATCTTAGCCTCCCCACCCCAAGATTCTAATTCCATTAGTCTGGACAATGGTTTGGGCATGGGAATTTTTTAAAGCTCCGGGTAATTCTTATGTGTGGTCATGGTGAGAACCATTGGCTTGGAGGTCAAAAGACCTGTAGAATTTTAGCTCTGCCATTACTTACTGAGGCTACTTAGACAGATCGCTTAACCCACAGGCCCCAAATTTCTCAGTAGTTCTTTCCAGCTATAAAATTGACTAGAAAGATGATGGGTTTAGTATGAACATACAAATTGTATGTTTGCCTTTCTACTCCCTTTTCCTTTTCTCATAGCCTATTCTACCTTCCTTTATTGAAATGTTCTAGGAGCATCCTCTCTTTAAGTGAATTAAAACTTGTATAGGGTAAAGTAGAAATGTCATTCTGGCCACTTCATCTGGGGATGTTTTAGAAGAACTCGCTAAATGATAAGACTGATGCTCCCAGAGGGGGTGTGTGTGTGTGATTTCTGTAAGGGCTGGAAATGGGAGTGTTCACCCATTGCAATGCACAATCTAGCTCTCAAACCAAACTTTTACTGTCTTGCATCACTGGGCAAAAACATTAAAATGAGTTTATTCTGTCTGTGCAAAACAAAACACTCAGCCTCTTGCATTCAGTTTTTCTTTCTATTCAGAGACTTAGTCATGATTGTGAAAAACTAGTTGAATCTAGGTAATTTATAATAAAATGACCACAGTTATGGAAATGCAACTTTTGCTTTTGATCACTAAGTGCAGAGCAGAGCTTCACTTATGTCTCAGTCTAGCATACTGTTCCATAAGCTAGGAATCACCTGCTTCTTCTCTGCTTTTCCAAGCATATTGAATGTATCCTTAAGCTTCAAAGGATTTTTTTCAGTTTTACTTTTCAGTATCACAAAATAGAATTACTTTAGAATCTCCATTTAACCAAGATATGGTTGAAAGATTTTGATTCTTAGCCCATGATCTATTTTTGGACCAACTGAGTTGCTCATTTGAATACCTCATCTAAATGAAATTTGATTCACAATATGGCACTAATTTTTTTGTGTGTGTTGGGGGGTATTGAACCTAGGGTCTCCTGCACACTAGGCAAGCACTCTATCACTGAGCTGTATCCTTAATCTAATGTTTAAAAAATAAATTTGCAATAATAGTCTTTAGTGTTGGTTTATGATCAAGGATCACATTTATAACAGTCCATGGAAAAACAAGAAAAATGAAATGGTGGCCTTACCCCGCCCCCTCCAAGTTTCTGGGGATCCAATCTGGGTCCTCACACATGCTAGATAAGGTTCTACCACTAAGCTAACATCMCTATCGTCTTCCAACTTTTTTAAAAGGCTGAGGGGAAATTGATAAAGCTCAATATGTGTAAGGCCCCAGTTTCAATCCCCAGCAACATATACACACACACAGAGTGTTTTAATATTATTGAAGTAAAATGCTGGTGATATTAAGTGGCAGACTTCATTTTTTAAAATCTAATTGGCAAAATAAAAAAATGCTACCCTGTATTGCATTATATTGTCTGGTCCATGACATCTCTAAAGTCCTGAATTATCCATGTAGACTAGCCTCATTAATTTACAGTGAAAGGCCTGTGGCAGGAATAGCAGTCTAATAAGGAATTGAAAGTCTTGAGAGGATGCTCGGTATGTGAATGGTCATTTGTGGAATATTTTAACCCTAATGGCAAGATACTATGCTAAATGTTTTATATTTATTAACTTATAAAGCTATGTGAGGATCCCTTTTTAATGGCTCAGAAAGCTGAGGTATAGTAAGCTATCTGCCCATGGTCATACAGCTTACAAGTGACAGAGCCAGGATTTAATGAAGTACTCAGGCTTCAAAACCACACCTTTAGACACTGTATACTGTCTCCATGCATCGCTAATAAATAGATCTTTTGATGTCCTGCTTGCCATCTCTTCCACGAAACTTTCCCTAAAATTCTGGGGTTTTTTTGTTTTGTTACAGGAAGGGGAATGGGGATTGAACCCAGCAGGTTTAATCACCGAGCCATATTCCCATCCCTTTTTATTTTTTACTTTTTAGATAGGGTCTTACTAATTGCTTAGGGCCTTGCTAAATTGCTGAATCTGTCTTTGAACTTGCCTCACGCTGGGACTGTGGCTCACTGGCAGAGCACTTGCCTGGCATGTGTGAAGCACTGGGTTCAATTTTCAGCACCACATATAAATAAATAAAGGACTATCAACAACTAAAAATAAAAATTTTTTAAAAAATGAACTTGCCTCAGCCTCCTGAATTGCTGGGATTATAGGCATGCACCACCATGCTTGTAAGTCCCTAAAAATCTGAGGAAATGATCATTTCTACCCAACGTCTCATGAACATTCTTTCTTCTGTGAGCACCTTGTGCACTTCTTTTCATTTACCACCCTATTAAATGAAGCTTCCAGCTTATATACAATTTTTCAAATGGATTATACTCCATTTGATCATTCATAAGTCATATCAAAGATGCTTTAAAGTTTTTTGACACTGATATGTTCCTAATGTCTTTAGATTCTAGTCCACTCTTTTTTGAGATACCAAAATCCAAAGGCAGCTAGTTCAACAGTCTCCATTTTAAAAGGTGAAAGGCCTGCATTACTGTCCTCCAGTTTGCTGGTCTGTACTGACATCATTGGTGCCCAAACAAAGAGCATTTTGCTTTATAAGGACCTGGGTAAATGTAAGGTCCCATTACATCAGAGGCCAGTGTGAATATCAGCTGAGCTGGAAATGGGGAACATGGCCAAGGAGTAAAGAATTATAAGGGTAAGATTATAACTTTTAGGGTTCTTGGCTGTATGGATTATACTGGAAGGACCATGTGAAGAAGCTGAGAAATTGAAAGGCAAAGTTGACATAAGATTTTGTCAGGTCATTGATAGCTAGAAATGGCTTCAACATCACCTCATCCCTGAAAGGGGCATGAACCTCAAAGGCCCATCCATATAATCACTGTAGATTAAAAGTATGTTATTCTTTTCTGTTACAAATCAGAATATGTTCGAGACTATTTCCTTCTTTCTAAAGAATCGTATCCTTGTGCTTAAAGGAGGGAGCCATAGGATTACTTGTTTTCTTTTGTTTGTGCTGGGGATTGAACCCAGGGCCCTGTGCATGCAAGGTAAGCACTCTACCAACTGAGCTATATCCCCAGCCCTAGAATTACTTCTTTCCTTGAAATTAAGTTTAGAAATAGGATTTTTCCTATCTGCCTGGTCTTAATTTGGAATCACCAGACTGAAAAGGGGGATATGAATCCATTAATTACCAAATTCTTAATTATGTGAGTATTTCAACAAAATTAACAACAGATGCATCAGTTTCTCGTAGGTTAAAAATCATAATATAGAGCTTGTATGTCCTTTACATATTTTTTCATATATATTTTTTTCAAACACTAACCATTCACCTATTACTTTTCTCAAAAGAAAATATCTCCAATAACATAATTATTTCAAAGTTACCATAAATGGCATATTTGTTGCTCAAGTTTTTGTAGGTGTTCTACATCTGGAACAATGGGACAAAATGGGTTTACAGGCCATTTGATAAGTGATCTGATTATCTGGATGAGTTTATTGTGCTTCGAAGACCAGAGTTAAAAGTGATTATTTAATCTACCTAGGAGTTTATCATTTTAAATTTCAAGTTAATATTGCAGTTAAATCTTGAGTACCAGAGACTTCACTACGGGCAAAATCTTCTGAATAGGCTGATTTTCTACATATGATCTATACAGTACCAGCAGAAGGGAATCAATAAAGGAAACTTCCATCATACAAAGATGATTCCATATTTTGTTGAGCAACGCCTATTTCTGGGTAATGATAATGATACAATTCATTTCTTTAAAATAAAAACTGCAGGTCTGATAATTCTCTGACTTCCCGAAAAAGTGAAAAAGGGGCCATCTGTTGCATACCAATAAATATTATAACAAAATAAGAGTATGAGAGATGGTAGTTATTAATGAGCATTTGGCATTAAGTAGACTCAGGGATCATAATAATCCTTATCTCAAAGAGTGCTGTGTTGCCAGGGCCAGTTACAAACGCTTATAATCCTAGCAACTCAGGAGGCTGAGGCAGGAGGTGGTTGCAAGGCCAGCCTCAGCAATTTAGCAAAGCCCTAAGCAACTTAGGGAGACCCTGTCTTAAAAATTTCAAAACATAGGGATGGGGTAGGCGCTGGGGATGTAGCTCAGGGGTAAAGCACCACCTCTGGGTTCAACCCCAGTACCAAAAAAAAAAAAAAAAGAAGAGTATTATGAGGCTTAAATGAAAGATTCATTTAAAATACATACTTGGCCCTTGGCCCAGGTAAGTACTCAGTTACTCAATACACATAGCTATTACAACCAAAGGCCCTGTAGTTGATCTCCTTCAATCAGCTGGTGGTCTAGGGCAAGACTGCAATTCTAATGCTTTCTTGCACAGTATGAGCATTATGACCAAAAGAAAAAAATCCCGATGGGTTACAACTTGATTAACCATTTGAGTCATGTACAGTCAAGATACGGACGCCTGCCTTCTGACTGGATCTGCTCCAGCTTGTTCGGTTTTCATAAACATACTAATACAAATTCCCAGATAATCTATAGAAGCCCTCAAGGCCCACACGTAGGGCAAGTGGGTAGGATGCAGCTTTCCGGAAAAGGGCCGGAAGAGGAGAAACAATGAATAAGCACTCTGCTCTCTGAATATTGCCCTCTAGTCTTTCTCTAAATTGAGGGCAAGCCCTAGGGGACCACGCAGTCACTAGATTTATAGAGCTCGTGAGCATTTGCAGGAGGATGTAAACAGAGACTGACTCTCCACCCTTAAGCCCGTTTTCCAATGACAGCCCAGCCTACCCGTACAGAAGCCCAGAGGTCAACTCTGAAAAGATCTCAAAATCAGCTTAGTACCCACTACAGGCGCCGCCTCGCGTGCGTGCGTGCGTGTGTGCGCGCGCGTGCGTGCGCGCAGGCTGCTGGGAAGCCGCCTCTTCCCTCCCGGTCTTCCAGTTTCCCGGCGTGCTTCGGGCCCGCCAAATGGGAGGGGGAGACGCAAGATGGCGGCAGCCGCGAACTCCGGCTCCAGCCTCCCGCTGTTCGACTGTCCGACCTGGTGAGTGGCGGGGCGGCCGGGGCCGGAGTGTCCTGGCCCCAGCAATACTGGGCAGGAAGGGAGGTTGATTTTCTTTGGCGGCGAACCGAACGGCTCAAAACCCCTGGAATGGTTAAGAGAAAACTGTCTGCTGTGAGGGGCCGGGCGACGTGTGGAGGAACCGGGAACCTGAAGCTCGGGCCCAAGAACTGAGGAAACCTGGGATTGGGGACTCAAAGGAGCTCACTTAAGCAGTCCTTTGGGTGTTGAGCCGCTCGCCTGTGAGGTTTGGGGCCTTGGCCCCGAACTTACCCTTAACTCCTGACTGAGTGCCTGGTGCTCTTGTGGAGCGCTGTACCCGATCCCCCTCCTGTACGTCCGGACCGCGCACGAGCCAGCTTCCCGACCCCAACCCAGCCTCAGAGCCCTATATCCTTCTGTCCTTGCTGCATCCTGTGTGCAGAACTCTAATGTCTTCCATAGACTGGGAGCTTCCTGAGGGCAGGAATGGCGCTGACCAATCCCCTTGTTCTCAGTGGTCCTCATGAAACCTGGTACAAAAAGCATCAGTAATTGTGGAAATGAATGCTTTTCATCCCATGGAAAGTTTTGGAGAATAATGGGATAATTAAGCCTTTGGGTAGGGTACAAGATGAATGAATAATTGCTTTGCCAGGAGACGCTTCCCAGTTAGAGCTTTCTCTCCTGTAGCTCATCACAGTGTATTATTAACGTCTTATCCCTCTGTCTCCTGTTATAGTGAGATCTTCAAGGGCAGAGAATGATGGGTCTTTGTATTCTCAGCTCCTAAACATGAGTCAGGCACATAGTAGGACTTAAGAAAGTATGTTTTGGATTTAACATTCCTTTCCCTGTTTTCTGGTCAAAATGGGCTTTTGTTCAGTGCATTGTTCTTTCAATTATTGCCATAGAGAAGTTGGGGTAGGACTATGAGATGATTATGTTGCATCTTCAGTTTTAGATAGGATACATTTTTCATGTTCAAATGTAGGGCTTCTGGTAAGATTGTTCTTTAAACATCAAATGATTAAATCCAAGAAGCAAGTGAATGTGTGGATATTTTATGGATTCCTTTACACTTTTGTAACATCCAGTTGCTTTCAGTCTACAAATTATGCGTCCATTTTGATCTATGGCTGCATTGATTTCAAATGCAAACATAGTTAAGAAGAGATTCTTTTAGATCACCTACCATTTTATCAGGATCTGTTATGTACCAGGCATTGTGTTAAGTACTTTGACATAAGTATGTCCTCCTTGAATGGTATGGTGAAGTGTAGAACTTTGCATTATCATGTCGTTGTAGAAAGACTTGTTCAAGAGTAACACACCTCCTGTTTTGGTACCTGGTTTTGTGGGCATGATTCTGAATTGCCCTAGTTCCCTAATGATGCATCTCTGATTTGTTCTTAGAGCTCAGAACAATATCTTCTGCTTATTCTATGATGAGACTAAACTTGACCAGCACCAAGCAACAACTAATTATTCTACCTTTGTATATTAGGGTATTAGCAAGTCTTAAGATTCAAACTCTGGGTGACCAGACTACCCCAGGTGTAGTACTTCCGGCCTCTTTGCTGCTTTCTCTTTGAAGTGACTATCCAATGTTAAAATATAGGTTACTTTAGTGCTGCTCGAAATACAGAGCCACTAAAATCTGTTTTAGAGCAATTGAATCTCTTGGGAAATAAGTGTCAAATGTAGAAAGGAGCTGTAACAGTTAAGTAGATGACATTTTGCCTGAACATGAACTAATTATAGGCTGGTAAGAGAGCTGCAATATTGAATGGAACAATAATTGTAAATAACATTAATGAACTCATCCTGAAAATTATTTTTACATCTTTTTTTCAGGGCAGGTAAACCCCCACCTGGTTTACATCTGGATGTAGTCAAAGGAGACAAACTAATTGAGGTATGAAAATATATGTCTCCCTGCCCCCCGCCATTCTAAAGATTTTTGCCAGTGACTCACTATTCCACCCCCTCTCCTGTGCTTTGTTTTCCAGCAATGCTACTCGTTCATCCTGAAATTTTTTCTATTAAAAGCTTATGACGATATAACACATTCAAAGCTCATATCTCCCACAGACACTCAGTTTTTTGTGACTTCTCTCACCTTCCAAATGAAGAGTTTTAATAGGTCATGGGCCTGTAGGCCCCAATCAAACTGGAAGCCTTCTTGGTGAATTCCTTCTCTCTGAGTACATGGAATTGTGTGGAAGGCACAAGGTATGCAATAACCGAAGAAGAAAATGAATGGTATAGATTGAGTTTAACTTTTGAATTGGTTCTATGAGATTCAGGCCCAACACCTTCAAAGAAGTATAGTAAACCTAGCCACTTTTTCAACATAGGATGACAGTAAAATTCATTCAAAACATTTATTGGATGATTACTGTGTGCGTGTCACTGAGTTAGCAGAAGAGACTACAAAAGAGGACAGAACAAAAGTTTTCTGTCCTCTGATTACCCTTTAGAGAGAATCACATAAAAAATTGCATAATTATAATTGAAATAAGTACAATAAAGAAAAAGTTGAGCTGAATTTCAGCTTTATACAAGTCTCTAGAGTGAATACCACATAGATTTTCAAGAAAACACAAGTTAGCTGTTAGATTGTGTAAGTTTTTTTAAAATCCATATTGTGTTATTAACTAAGAAGTGGAGATTAAGCATACTGGTTATTCAGCTATAATTTAGGTTCAAGGCCCTAATACTGAATGCGGTTATTTTTCTTTTTCTTTTTTTTTTTTTTTTTTTTTTGTGGTGCTGGGAATTGAACCTAGAGCCTTGTGCGTGCAAGGCAAGTACTCTACCAACTGAGCTAAATCCCCAGCCGTTTTTCTTTCTTCCTTTTTAAAAAATATTTATTTTTTTAGTTGTAGTTGGACACAATACCTTTATTTTATTTATTTATTTTTATGTGGTGCTGAGGATTGAACCCACTTGTGAGGTTCACGTGTGAAGGCAAGTACTCCACTGCTGAGCCATAACCCCAGACCCATGAAGTTTTTCTTCAATGTATAGAATAAAAACATTGTAATTCCATGGTTGATAGCTTGAAAAGCTAATGGTCTTCTGAAGGATGCTCTGCAAATGTATTGTCACTTTCAAAATGTTGTGGCAATAACTGGATACTTTGCAAAATATGAAAGCATCTATGGGTTACAGTGAATTCTCCTATTATTAATTCTTCTAGCTCTCAGCCAGACACATAGATCCCTTTGGTTAAATGTCAAGATTACTCAAGAAAATAATTTAACTAAACTAGCTATAAAACCTCTTTTACTATAGGTGGTTCCACAGATAGAAAATATATCTGTTGCTAAGTAGGATAGCTTGAAGCTTGAAGGTATATAAAAATCTATTTTGTTACAAGAATTTAGTAAATCTTTTTTTCTGCCTGTTTGCAATAGGAACAAAGAAATAATTTATATTTTCAAAACACTGTAATTTATCCACTACCCCTATGATTATTGGTTTCCATTTGCTGATAATGTTCTCTTTCAGTGCTCTTAGGTATACTGAGTTGCCACACAGTTATCAAGTTGCAATCCTTAGACATCTCTGTATTGTTCTTGGTAGGAATAGGCCTAAGAAATGTGTTTTGCAGTGCTGGGAAATAAACCCAGGGCCTCATTCATGCTAGGCAAGTGCTCTACCACTGAGCTACATCCCTAGCCCAGAGGTGTTTATTTTTAAGGATTTAGATTTTCATCAGCACTTGATACTAACCGAGCTGTCTATATCCTAGCCTTGTGTCAAAGGCTTGTGATATGCTGTGGTAGCTGGGTTGAAGAAGTGCAATATTAAAATAAAGCCATGAGTCTTTTAAGCCCAGTGTGTAAAGATACACTCTGAGTTATAACTCAAAGGCACAACTGGATAGTGACGTTGGTCATAGCTGGTCAAGGAGTTATGGACTTAATGAGTATGGAAAAACTAATTTATTATTTCATTCACCTTTTAACATTTTCTTGATTGTAAGAAATACTGTCTTCCACTAAAGTTCCATACATTTGAACATTTCTGCAATTGGGATGCCTCTGGTAGTGAATATATACATTTAATTTAAGGGCCTCTTCTTTTTGCTTCAAACAGATCTCTTAATCTCTGGTATGCCTGTGGCAACCTACAAATATAAAATTTGGACATTGTTATTCCAGAATCCAAGAGTTGGTGGTCTTATATATTCCTTATGACCCACTGTGAACATTGTGGGCATTTTTAAACTTATGAGAACATAATCTGTGTGCATATTGAAATGAATGAAAAATGTATTAAGGTTCAGACTGAATAAATATTACCTAAAAAAAAGATGTTGAAATTTCAGGGCTTTCTTAATTTTTTTTTTTTTTAAGGATTTATTAGCTTTTATTTCTCTCTCTCTCTCTCTYTTTTTTTTTTTTTTTTAATAACTTTATTTTATGTGGTGCTGAGGATCGAACCCAGGGACTTGCACATGCGAGGCAAGTGCTCTACCATTGAGCCATAACCCCAGCCCAGGGCTTTCTTAATTCTAAAGCAATATTTTTTAAGAATTTTTTTCACAACTTTTTTGGATCAAACCCAGTGCCTCACACATGCTAGGTAAGCACTCTACCACTGAGCTACAACTCCAGCCCTGCAATGTCTTATTTTTAACCCAAATCTTAAAACTTAGGCCAAAGCGGACACAAGGGTGACTATCTAATTGAATCGTTAAGTCCTGGTGCCCTGTAGTAGTATGGCCCTGGAATGAGTGCTACCAGCAGTAGATGGACACTGTTGGAAATGGATTTCCTAGAGGTGACTCACATATCCAAGCTAGCTTGAACTCA